CCCCAAAACCCCAAAACCCCAAAACCCCAAAGCAGAAGGATATATTGAAAATATTCTACGAATAAATATTTATCCTTAAAATCATATTCGGTTTATTCCTCCTCCCATTCACTCATCTCAAAATCAGATATATATTCAGAATCTGATTGCTTCTTTGCTATCTTCCATATATCTACTCAAATTTACCCCCAAAACAAAAAGCCCTTCGTATTCTCAAAAACACGCTCATGACCCCTAACTTACGAAACAAGTCGACCCCTTTAGCCTTATATTCATCCCACTTATTCTTGGCAGCAATATGGTCATTCTTGTCATACTTGTACTCTGACTTCTTGTACAAGTCACTCAGTTCCTTCAGTCTTCTGAACAACTTATTTCTGATCTTCACCTATATCAGCTCAGTTACTACTTGCAGGCCAAATCCAAAATTTTTGAACCCTTGTTTCTAGGTATCTGGGTTTGTAGAGGATTAGCGCTTTAAAGAATTTGGATAGGACTAGAAGAAAGTGAGTTACCAAGGACTGCATCAAAGATCTGATCTCGCGAAGGTTTGTTATCAAATCTTTACCGTGGTGAGTGAAGAACTTTACAATTGGATCTGATAATTTGAAGATAGTAAAATCGGAAGGAACTTCAAGGTTGGAGAGATCTGGAGCAGGATCTGATAATTTATTCCTGAGTTTTATCCATTGTTCTATTTTAAATTCATCAAAAACTAATAATGTAACAATAGCATTGAATGGTAGCACATTCTGAATTATGTTCCTAAACTGACTCTTCAGAAAGGAGATTCTTGCTGCTCCGTTGACATCTGCAATATCTTTATTCTGCTCCATAAGGGTATACTTGACCTTTTCTGGATTCTTCTGGATCAGATTAGGAAGGATATTTTGCCAGAAATGGTTCTCTCTCTTGAAGATCTTCTCGCATGTACTTATTGCTATAGGTTCATTCTGCTGACTCACTTGGTACTTTAGAAGCACTTGAGCAGCACAATGAACTGCCTTCTTTTTCCATTCTATATAATACCATCATTTATGTAATTTGGTGAAATAATTTTAATAGATTTGATTTGGAGAGAAGATGCCATAATTTACATCTTTGTTTTGTCATAAAGAAGTTCAGTTTCAAAATTTCGAACAGACAACAAAAAGAATATATTAGAACTATATTTTAAGAAATTTAAGAAGTGAAATTAATGCTAATCATTTCCTAAGATATATAATTTTCGACTCATAATCATATACAATTCACATTTTAATCTAACGAAGACTCGATTGCATCTATTAAATAAAATATGTGCATGAAACAAGACCAGATTCAAAAGCTGTATTTAAACTTGCTCAAGAAACCCTCTAAGCTTTAAATATGGTCAGTGGTACAGTTTTATTGTTCTCAGACTAACCAATGTAAGTACTCTTTAGTTTCTATCTTCTCAAAAGCAGACTTTTTGTTGCTTCTGAGTCTTAAAGAGGTGCTCTAAATTATTAATAAATCTAAATACTTGGCTTGGGGATAAACATTTAGATTTCATTGCAGTGATTTTTGCTTTTAACTCTTGATTCTCTTTTGATAGAGAATCCACTTGTTGATTTAACTGCATGACTTGGACTTTAAGGGTATCATTCTCTTCTTCCATATCTTCTTGTTGAGTTTTGAGTTTAATTCTATATCTCTTCATTTTCTCTCTATTCTTTTTTCTCCTGATGTTCTCCTTATCTTCTTCTGGACGTTTCCTTGCTCTCTTTGCCTTTGGCCCAATGCTAGTTTTTTGTATGTCCATTTTCAATTATAATTGTTCCTTCTGGGGTTTTGGGGTTTTGGGGTTTTGGGGTTTTGGGG